AAATGCATTTGATAAATTTTGTATAAAAATAATGAACTTGTATGTAAGATTTTTATTTTATGAAATTACAATTATTATTTTAAGACATTTTTATGTTTATACATTCCTTTTATACATAAAATATTTAAGTAAATGTCACACACATAAACAGTATTAATAATATTTACCGAGAAATTTTCATAGAAAATATCCGTCCTTCGACTGAATCGAACCTATACTATACGGAACGTCATATGTTTACGTGCCGATACGATCGAGCCAGATATGGAGGATCGTTCGGTTAGCATGGTCGATTTTAATTTTTAACAAATATTTTCCATGAATCTCTGCGTACATTGTTAACCGAACGATCCTCTGTGGTTCAATCGGTTACGGCGTCGAAGGGTAATGACGTTCCGTATAGGATACAGGTTCGATTCTCGGAGGACGAATATTTTCTCTGAAAATTTCTCAGACATTCAGGCCGGTAAATGTTAAACATAAAAAGAGCATTTACTTAAATATTTGTATCTATAAAAAAATTGTTTAAACATAAAAATATCTTAAGATCATTTTTGTGTATTCTTAAATTTCTGCAAGTAATCTCAATGTATTATGAAGAGAAATTACGACTGTTTATTTTATATATACTTGCTTCAGAATTATTCATATTATAGGTATGTTTTATTCCTATTATTAGATCCATAATAAACTTGAATGTGGTTGTAATTATTTTAATATTGTTACGAATGGATATTTTTTTGGATAGTGGTGGTTAGGGGCTTAATAGATTATAGTATGCCTTTTTTGTCTTATGCCTTCTATTTGTTGTAATTGTTATTGTTAATAATAATGTGTTTATCTTTTTGGTGTTTGTATATTTTGTATGTCTCTATCTTAGTATTGTGGATGTATAATGAAGATACTGGAGGTTTTCATTTAATCACCACAGAAAACCTTTTCGGACTTCCATCAGCATCACTGTTGCTAAACTCGAGGCGGACAACACTTAGGGTTATCTCGATTTCGCGTTTATACTGAATCAGTTGCTAGGTCTACTGCTAGGAAAGTTGGTTCACTGTGTCGTTGCAGACATTTTTTTCGTGTCAGAATCAATACTGCACATTTATAAATCACCCGTGCATTAAAAACTGCTACCATATCTGATCTGGTGCTCCTAATAACCATCTCAAGATTCCTGATAAAATTCAAAAAAGTATCTTTAATGAAACCGATCCTAACTTAGCATCTCGAATTCAGACAATTTCTTACTGACAAAACGTGGCTTCCCTCTGTCTTTTCTAAGAATATTTTCACAGAAACTGTTCTGATGAGCTGTTCTCATTAATGATTCGACTGTAGGAGTCTAAGCGTGCTACTAGATTGGTAACTAGGTCCAACCGTGTTACTGTTGAACCAGCTAGAATCAACTGCCTGTTCTGTTTTCCTATTTTTTCTCGTACATCTCGTCTGTGGAAACCCTTCGGAAATCCCTGACACTTGAAAAAATTAAACGCATCGTCAATCGCCATGTTCTACTTTCTACGTCTAATTATGGTCCCTATCTCACTTTTCTTCACTAAAGACTTTTTATTCTCTTTCATTCCCTGTAACCTCATGAATCCTAGTGGCATTATCGCCTTGCATGGGGTGAAATGATTCAGAAAAAAATTCCATTCAAACGTGAAACAGAATATCGCCACTTTTTCCTTCCGTGTTGAAACATACATATATATATATATATATATATATATATATATATATATATATATATATATATATATATTTTTATTGTTATACCTTTTTCAGTTGGCTCTGGTTGGTATTGCTAAATGAAACTAGCCATATTCAAGTACTTTTTGGCTCACGCCATTAAATTTTCAAAAATGTTTGTTGCTTAACCAATGCTGTTAGTTTAATGTCTTTTAAAATTAACGCCTTTCGCTGTTTTGTTTTATCGAGTTTTGTGTCGTTTCGCGAGAGGTCTTCTACTTCAAAACACTATGAAAGCAAAAACTGTTGATATTGATATAAAATATATATATATATATATATATATATATATATATATATATATATATATATATACATTTCTATATATATATATACATACATATATATACATTACAAACATTTGCATACAATATATATATACATATATGCAATAATATATATATATATACATATATATTTACATTACATATATATATATATATACATACAAATATACATCATATATATATACATATATATACATAATATTTCCTATACATACAGCCTATTTTTTCTAAATTTTATTTTTTATACATTTTATACATATATATTACATATATAAAAAAAAAATATATACATATATATACATTCACATACATACATATATATACACAATATTCACATTTATACAAATGATACATACACATAAATATACACACACAAATATATATATATTTATATATTATATACATTATATATATATATACATACCATCTATATATATATAAATATATATATACACATATTTGGCTGGGACATATATACATATATATATATATATCATGATATATTATACATATTTATATACTCTATATTTATATATATATTATATACATATATATATATATATATACATACAGATATATATATACATACATATATATATACATACATATATATATAATA